CACATTTAGTGATAGTTCTAGTTACATATACATTTATAAGGAGGATTAAGCATATGCACTATTTACAAGTGACATTCACAGGGACGCTGATCATTTCCACTACACTATAGTCTGGTTTAATCAGGATGATAACGCTTCATCAGACATTCGTGCTTACTTTATAGGCGGGGCTTAGTATGCTAAGTGTTCTATCCCATGATTCAAATTATCGAATAAATATTTTTCAGTAGATCTTTACAATAAATATTTTAATTATACAATATATATTTTCAAATATAGAACATACATATAGAAAATTATCGCACACAAATATTTTTATGATGAACAAATATTCAGCAGGATTGAATAAATATTATGGTATAGAATTTGTGAAATTTGAGTTATACAATATAAATATTGGATATAGAACATCAACAAAAATTTAATTTATTGCATATTGCAACGTTTAACATGCCATAATTGCCAAAGAATAAGATATATTGTTAAATAAAAAGATATCAATTCTTTCCTCGGGTGAGGCGTGACGTAATACAAAGCAATGAGCGATGAAACGTAAATCTCAGTAGTAGGTCAAATTAAATATAATACACGGTGCATATCCATATCGGTACCCTCTTTGCGAAATCTGCTCAAACGGTACCCTCTTTGAACATGCACAGGTCATTCTCTGCTAAAAACAAACCAGCGATGGATAACAATCCAGTAAAATTCCATTGTAATAAGGAAAGGAGGTATGACACGTAGAAAAGATGTATACCAAGGAACACTAGAATGTTTTATTTATGTGCTGATTTGTCATGTGCCCGTTTTCCATGTACTGTAACTTCACAATAAGCTTAAAAATCGACATGTCTTGCCTCGCCCATCACCTCGACATATTTTTCGGGCTGAAATGAACCTGTGGCTCGATTATATATGCATCATACATATTTAATATGTTCATATACATATCATCTTCCGACAACTGGCAATATATTGTCAAAAATAAATGTAAAATTCATAAAAAAACACCCTACTTTCGGTTTTGCAGCGGCACGGTTTGAATTTTTATATCACGGGTACCGTTTGAGCAGATTTCGCAGAGGGTACCGATATGGATATGCACCGTGTAATAGGCACAAATCATCTAAATTGTAATCATTCACTTTTCAAGCGAGTTTTCTTTTTTAGTCACTTATCTTCTTCTTCCTTTTCTTCTTCTTCTTCTTCTTCTTTATTATTTTAATCATATTTATTATTATTATTATTATATCTATTATGCAAAATTTCTCGGTCGATCGAAAAAAAAAATACATTTTCAAGACACTACTGTGTCTAAATTGTAATCATTCAGCTTCTGTACGAGTTTTCTTTCTAATGCAGTTTCTTCTTCTCATTATTATTATTATTATTATTATTATCCTCCCCCCCCCCCGAAAATGCGGCGGGGGATATAGAAATAGTCTCCGTCTGTCCGTCCGACTTTCCGTCAGTCCTTCCGTCCGACATTTTTGTCCGGAGCATATCTAAAAAAGTATTTGAGGTATCAACTTGAAACTTCATAGGTAGATAGACCTCATTAAGGAGGAGTGCAGTGCATAAGAATGATAACTCTAATATTTGAGTTATTTCCCTTTGTTACTTTTCAAAATTAATTTTTGTCCAGAGCATAACCCAAAAAGCCTTTGAGATATCAACATGAAACTTCATAGGTGCATAGATCTCACCCAGGAGGTGTGCAGCGCACAAGAATAATAACTCTACCTTTCATAATTTTTGAGTTATTGACCTTTGTTATTTTTCATACTTAATTTTTCCCTGTGTGAAGCATATTACTCAAAAAGTGTTTGAGATGTCAACATGAAATGTCATAGGTTGATAGATCTTATTGAGGAGGAATGCTGTGCACAAGAATGATAACTCTTCTCATTACAATTTTGAGTTATTGCCCTTTGTTCTTTTTCATACTTTTTTGTCCGGAGCTTATCTCAAAAAGTATTTGAGGTATGAACTTGAAACTTCATAGGTAGACGGTTCTCATTGAGGAGGAGTGCAGTGCACAAGAATAATAACTCTACCCCGCATAATTTTTGAGTTATTGCCCTTTGTTATTTTTCAAAATTAATTTTTGTCCAGAGCATAACTCAAAAGGCCTTTGAGATATCAACATGAAACTTCATAGGTGCATAGATCTCACTCAGGAGGTGTGCAGTGCACAAGAATGATAACTCTACCTTTCATAATTTTTGAGTTATTGCCCTTTGTTCTTTTTCATACTATTTTGTCTGGAGCTTATCTGAAAAAGTATTTGAGGTATGAACTTGAAACTTCATAGGTGGATAGATTTTACTGAGGAGGGGTGCAGCACACAAGAATGATAACCTACCCTGCATTACTTTTCAGTTATTGCCCTTTGTTATTTTCAGCCATCAGTATTCACATAGGTTTCAAATCTGTAATCACTTCAGTAATCAGTTTTCATTACCAAAATACCTCTTAAAATTGAATTATTCTGCTCTACTTCATATACATTTTTCCAATGAGCAAACACATTCGTCGGGGGATGGCCATGTTGACACGGCTCTTGTTATTATTATTATTATGCTGCAAATTTCTCGATCGAAAAAAATAACATGCTAAAGGGGGACTACTGTGTCTAAATTGTAAACATTCAACTTTTGTACGAGTTTTCTTTCTTAGGCAGTTATCTTCTCATTATAATTATCATTATTATTATTATTATTATTATTATTATTATTATTATTATTATTATTAGCAGTAGTATTATCACATATTAAATATAGATCAGTGGTATTATCATTATTATCATAACTACATGTATCATTATAATTATCCAAAATTACTTGCAGCGTTTTAACACAGTGAATGCATGCTTTCGTAATGTTATTCATTTGAAATATCGTCACAGGGTAAATAAAGGGACACAATCGTTACAAATATTTTACAAAAGCCTCACATTTTATTAACGTGATGATTAATGTTGGCTTTCAAAGCACGTTTTAAAGTTTAAATAAGAGCATATGTCAATATATGAGTAAGTATGAAACGGAATACGACACCGAGTTAAGTAAATTATTCATTTAAGATATTTAGACCTAAGAGATATACTCATATTCGTTGAAAATTAATAACCAAATAAATAAATAAATACAACAATGGTAAAGGTCGCTGACTTGAGATCACAGGTCCCTCACCGCTGTAGGTTCGATCCTCACTCGGGTCGAAATCTTTCATGTGAGGAAGCCATCCAGCTGACTTACGGAAGGTCGGTGGTTCTACCCAGGTGCCCGCTCGTGCTTGAAATAATGCCCGGAGGGGCACCTGGGGTCTTCCTCCACCAATAAAAGCTGGAAAAAAAATTGACGAAAAAAATCTCGGCGGGACGCTATCTGGCCCGACTTGAGTGTACGGTCGCCCATATGGGCTTTCCGGCGGCGACCTTACATAAACACATTAAAAAATACAAAGAATGAATGAATGAATGAATGAATGAATGAATGAATGAATGAATGAATGAATGAATGAATAGATGGATGGATAGGTGGATTTTTGGTGGTTGAGTGAGTGAGTGTGTGAATGAATGAATGAATGAATGAATGAAAATGAATGAATGAATAAATGAATGAACAGTTAAATATCCTCTGTGTAGCAGGTACAAACAAAAGAAAACACAAGTTTTTGTTCTTTTATTTTTATTTTATGAAAGAGTGTTTAGGGAAGTTAAAAAATATTTCTTACAATAAAAGTGCAAAAAATTCATTGAGAAGAAACGTTTCAATCCACAATATTAATGAATGTATGAGACAAAGCGTGTCATGTTTCATGTTTCATATTCGTATGCAGTGCCTTATGTTGTTTTTTTTAATAAACTATACAAAACGTACGTCTGTCTTTACATTTTTAGTGACTTTAACTGTTGTTGTCTGGGGTTTGTTAAGAGACAGCGCGTGTTGCTTTTAAAATGGAAAGAAAAACTACAAAACAGAAACTACAATAAGTAGAGGTTAGGCTAACCTAAATGTATATTCATTGTCCGTTTAACGTGTCCATTTCGTGACATGTACATTTTTCCTGTGGTACGGCGAAAAGTTTTGAGTACGAAGACACAACAATATCAATTATCGCACTGTCGTGACTTCGTACCTTTTGCATTTTCGCGCCACCGCACAAAAAATATACACGTTGATAATCATTTACCGCCTGGTATTTCATTCAAAAATTAAAATAGCATTTAATAAACATGCAAATGTTTTAGTTAAAGACATTTTCATTATGTATTTACAAATTTGTTATTATTTTCCCTCTTATAGCTGTATCAGGATCATTACAGACGTTTTTGTCAATCTTAATGTTGTTGTGTGTGTTTTTTCAATATATATTTGTTAAAATGTGCCTTTCCGTTTATGTCTCTTGATGTTTAATGATGACGTTGTGCCTGTTTGTCGTTGTTTTTTACTTCCTCTGAAAATAAAAGAGTAAAATAACGTGTAATATTGATATAACAATATTCAATTTTACATTGGCAGAAGAAAGGAAATAAGAACAAATTTCTGACTCAGAGAATTCGAGAGCTTTTATGTAAACGAGTGCATAGGCTCAAAGGATTTCAGTTTGAATTCTGTCTGTCAATTTGTGACGTAATTCGCAAATACGGTCGTGGGCCGGCAGCAATATTATACCATAAGTCATGACGTCTTAAGTTAGTTTTGCAAGCTTTTGATGTCGTCCAGTAAGAAGTGACGTCATGTTTCGGTCTTTCCGACTAATAATCTGTGATGTCATAATTATGGTGATCTTAAAAAATAATGTATTTACGCGCTAAGAATAGAAGTCATGTATTGGTCTTGATGTTAGCTACGCAAGTCTTTACCTTTGTTGGTTTTACCAACTTCTAATGTAGATCTAACTAGACAAGTTGTGGCGTAATGTACTGGTCTTTCCAGCGAACGGTTGATGTTACCACCTTTTGACGTCACTTGGCAAGAAGTGACGTCATGGGTTTATCTTGCTAACTTTGGTATCTTCTTCATATCACATTTGTACATACAAAAGTGATATTCATTTTGCCGAATCATATTTGTTCTTGCGATAAATGCAATAGATATTGCAAAATATGTAAGATATATAAAAGAATAATTGTCTACCTTGCGGTCTGCAAGGATCTTCAGAAGAGTTCTGGCGATGGATGAAACGTCCTGGTATTTTCGCTTCAGTGGACCTTCGTCAGCAGGTGCCCCGCCTTCTCCCCCAGCCACTGGTGGACCCATGTCACCTTCGCCGCCAAATTCTTCTTCACCCTCTTTCAGGAAAGCAATAACATCTTCCAGGTCTTTGACTGGAGAAACACATTTAAACTAATCAATAAGATAGTTGTGTACAGATTGCACATCCGGTGAAAAAGAGGTCAGTTGTTGCAAATCGTAAGTTTGTGTATCATTTATTCGTTCTTTCAGATTCGTTCGTTTATTTACTTATTTATTTATTCATTCATTTATTTATTTATTTATTTACAAAAAAAATGTGTGTATTTATTTATTTGATAAGTGGGTTTTTTATTTAAATAAAAAAAATAATACAGATCCTGAAAATGACAGATGTCATCCTTTGCAAAATCACCAGATTAACTAATAATATAATAACGTTTCATGAAAGGAGGGAGATAACTGTGTTTTAACCGTAATGATCCTAGTTAAAAGTTTTCTCCCTTTATGCACCCTGTTTAAACGGCATTTGCATTAACACAAATATCTGACTTGTATTGTAATTGTCAAAGCTCAAACAAAACAAAACGTGTACAGAACTGTACATAATATATGTTACGATGTTTACTTGTAAAACATGGTCCATGTTCACCTTCCCCGCCTTCCTCGCCTTCCCCATCATGTTCACCCTCTCCTGGACCCCCAAGAGCTTCCCCTTCTTGATTTGATCCTGTAGGAGGCTCGTCTCCTTCATCTGATCCGCCTGGTCCTTTTGGGCCGCCCATCCGTCTCTGCTTTAGAGCCAGATCACGAAGCTATTTGGACAAATAAAATGGGGATCACAAGGGAGACAGTATTACGAAAAGTAATGGGTATTACAAATTTGAAATGAAAACTGGAAATTGGTTATGGAATTACGAAAGTGGAATTTCGGAAATGGAATATCACAATTTGGAATTAAAAAATGGAACCACGGACAGAAATTTAGTAATTGAAGTTACAAAAGTGAAAAAAGTAATTGAATTACGAAAAAATGTAGTAATGATGGAACTGTGAAATAAACATAATAATTGAATTATGAAAATGAAATTGTTACGTAATCACGAAAAAGAAATATTATTGAAACTATTGAAAAGAATAAGTAATGCAATCAGGAAAAGGAAATAAAAATGAAATTTGTAATAGAATCACAAGACAAAAATAGAAATTAAACCACGGAAATTTTTGTAATAGAATCACAAAAATGGTAACAGAACCACGACAATGGAATCAGTAATATAATCACAATGATATAGTAATGAACCGTCGAAATGAAAATAATAATGAAATAAAAAGAGTGAAATAAATTTAAAACTAAGTGCATGACAGTATTACAAAATAATTGTTGAATCGGGAAAAAGAAGTTGTAATAATATCATGAAAGTAAATTTTTACTGAATTTCGGAAGAAGAAATAGTCATAAAATATTGAAATTCCTGAATAAAAATCACTAATAAAAGAATGTTTTTAATTTGCGCAATATTTCTTTTACATAAAAGTGCACACATAGCCACAAGTATTGGCCATCTTATGCCGAAAAAATGTCCTACGCGAGAGTAACGTACAGTACTGACTAAAACTAATAAGTTATTCCATTTTTATAGACATTCTAAATGATTTGACACAACTGTAAATACTTTGTCAAACCCTCTATAAAATAATCCTGATTTTGACAGTTACTCGAAGAAAAAAAGGGTTTGTTTTGTCCTGTGAAAAAAGATTTATAGTTTATTACAAGGCCAGATATGTCCCACCCGGCACTTTCTGTTAATAACAGGGACTGTCATGCTGTAAAATGGACGCTAAATTTACAAATTTAACATATCAAATCATGGGGAAAAAACAAGCTTACCTTTTCCTCCAACCATGTCTTCTTGTAACTCTTTGCCTCGCTGACCGCTATCAGTCCGACCAACAGACATAGCAAGATTGCGCACTTCATTTTGAGAGGTATCAAAGTCCACTGACTTGTATGTAGAAATATAGTCCTAACTTTGATAATGTTGCAAATCAGTGCCTTTAATTTATACACGACATGGATCTAGGCAACAACATCAAACACAAAATTGTTAAGGCCCGTCTTTTTTTCATATGGTATATTAACGATGAACTATTCAGGTCACAATTAAGTATGATTCTGTATATCTAATATGTTTTTATACATACGAAGACCTTTGGAACGTCCGAACGTATGTCCGTCTGTCTTTCCATCCGTCTGTACGTTGATAATTAGTTTATGCATGATAAATCGTGAAGGATAATTATTTCTATGATTTTGTTAAGATTTAGAATGTATGTATATTTTATAAAATACAATCATTGTGGCTGAAAGGTTGAAAGGTTTCATTGTGGCTGCAAGGGGCGAGGCATCAAAATTGCAGCCATCGTTTATCCCCGCTTGAATAAAAAAGCGTGAGCGATTTTCTTTATTTTGTCTTGATATCGGTCTCAGCGATGTTGATCGTTTAGGTGCAAAATGGTTACCCATTCCCTTATTTTCAATTCCTACCCATCAAAACTCCAAACTGGTGTTCAACAGCCGATAAACATCGCCAAGACCAAAATTATGTTTAAGTAACAAAAAAATACCGATTTTTTGCTCAAATTTATATAAACCTTTCTATTTTCATGATTTGTTTTGTCATTTGCTTTTCACTGATGTAGGTACGAAATAACAACTTTATAGAAGGAAAAAAAACATAGCGCAATTGGAACATCTCGGCTATTATCTATAAATTTGCCGGAAAGGAACGAGAAGATGCAATGCGACTCCAAGCCTAAAACCATAACGCATAAGAACGGGAAGTTCTTCCATAAAACAAATTACACTGTTAAAAGAAAAAATTGTGAACCAGATTAAAATTAGATGATTATTGCCGTTCCTGGACGATACAACTGACAAGATTGGAAGAGTTCTAACTGTACACCGCCTGCCTTTAGCCAATGAAAGCGAATAATTCAGTATCACATGATAACAAAAATTCGCCCTACCGCAAGAGTTATTTATTTTAGATTTAGAGTGATGTGAGTTGGGCCTCAATTCGAAATCACACCAAGATCGTGACACTAGTTTTTCTTTTTAAAAAAACTTTACCCCTAATTCACTTACCTTATAAATAAACATATAGATATGTTTATTAAAGACGTGATACGCCTAGCTTACTTAATTCAATAAAAAAGAAAATTTAATCTTAAAAAAAGTATATTGGGATTTTGAATTCATTTATATGTAAATGAATATGTGTCCATTGAAACTTAAAGAAAATAATTTCATTTTCGAATATAAAGTATAAGCTTTACTAATACATTATACATCTTACGGTAAGGTTAGGAAAGTGCCTGTCGTGAAGAACTTATTATAAATATATTGGAGTGAAAAGTTCATCTTTTGAAATTTAACTTTTCAAATTAAATGTAGAATGAAATTATATTATAGTATAATAATTCAACCTATACGCAATTGAATATAGATGTTCAAACTGTGCCACAACGCATGGCATGGGTGACTTTTAAGTACTTAAAGTTAAAAAAAAACGTCAGCCAAAAAATTAAGTAAACACTACCTTTTAAAAGCATAAATCTTATGCACATGGTTGTACTCGTTACTAGTAAATTATAAGCAATATGTTATAACTTGTAAAAAGTAACGTATAAATAAAAAAAATGTAAGTAATAAATCCTCTACTCCCCCCTCCCATACAATCCCCCGCCCCTAACGGTTTTTGTAGTTATATACAGCATATCTATTATATCACACCGTATTACCGGCGGCAGTGATGGCAGATCACTGCAGTGATGGCAGATAGCTGAAATTTACCGCTCGGTACAGGTAGCTTATAAATTTGGTTGGTATTATTATATTACTCAAATACGGCCCATTGCATTGCTTAGAAACTATTGTCCATTGACTGGAGATACTGTTAGGTAATTTTGGACTCGTTTTTCATGTTTTTAGACTATTTTGAGCATGATAAAAGTGACAGCTTCGGAAAAATCCTTGAAATTTTTAATTTTTTTTGTTAAAAATTAATCAAGTTTTTTACATAAATGGCAGAATTTCGTGTTATCAATATATACCTTCAACCATTGGGGTCACGCAACACAAATATCTACCCCGTGAGTCTTTTCTTGAAAGTTTTACAGACGTTCAATCTGGTCCAGTCGAAGAAAAAATGCTGCCTTTGTAGGCAGATACATATTATAAATGCTGCCGTCGATGGCAGAAATACCATGAAAGTGGCTAACATTCTGACAGAAAATCAAGGTCACTCTTTAATCAATTATAATAGAAATAATAATAATAATTGAAATTAAGCAGCATAATAATATTTTTCTTGGATATTTTGATTTTTTTTAAGTATTATATTGTCAAGTACGAAAATGAAGCAATTTGCGCATTGTCAACGACACTTACAACCCTCGAGCAAACACCAATGGAAGAACTTACTTAACAAACATGTTATTATGACAGTCAAGAAGAAACGATACGAACGCTTAGTTCAACACAGATCAACAGGTTATGGATACATACCAAGGTTAGGTAATCCATGTGAGCTTTGGACAGTACTATGGAATCATCCAGAGTTACGTCCCTGTTGTGATTTGATAGTGTCTGTCGTTGGAAGACTTATGTCGCGTCCTTACATAGAACAATGTAAAAACTGTTTAAATTTTTGTAATGACATTGTGGATCATACCTTGAACTTTTGCACAAAGAAGTGCTATTTAAGACAGCATGTTTGGGATTTCCTCATAGCTGACATAGGAATAAACTTTTATTCAGACTGGATTAATCAACCTAGAAATGTACAATTAGATATGCTCCTCAACATTACATTTGACGAGGTCAGGAAAGCTAGGTTTTCTCTTCTCAGGCGACTCTATCATTTGTTTAAAACAGGCCACTGACTTAACATGCTGCTGTAGGCCTAATAATCATTCATAGTATGTACATGTTGTATACCAATTTGTTTAGAAATACTGTATACGTGTTTTGTTTTAGTTGATATTTCAATACAATCGTTTATTACTTTTGCTCATATAAAATCATATATATGTTTTATGTAATAGTAGTTTTAAGTCCGCTAGAAAAGCAACAACACATAAATAGGCATGACATGTTGTGTGTATGTGGGGTGTTACTTAACAACATACTGTTTTTGTTTATACTGTTGCTCACTACATAAGTACTTATACATGTAAATTATGCCTGTTCATAATTAAGTTACATGCTATGACAGACCTGCTTATAATAATGAAATTAAAAATGATTATGTAAATATATACCCTTGCTCTTATAATACATGTGAAACATTTATAATACATTGTTGTTAGAAACAAAACCTTAAATAATCCAATTTTATTTTGATATACTCTTGGTCATACTTATAACAAAATTTTCTGTCTCATGCTCGTAAAAGAAATTGCTACTATCTAATTATCTCATCAAATGCATCCTAAGGCATTGGTCATTAACGTATTATTTTTATCTCGACATGACTGTTTGGTTTCTTAAATTATAAGAGTGGCAATGACTTATAACAACAGTAATTTTGTGCCGTTGGTAATATCCATCAACCATTTCTTGTCTTTTTCGTTTTCGGACAAGACTGGTTTTCTTTATGGATAAACTTGAAAACTTTACATAACAATATATATATATGCTTGTAATATTGTAATAGTCACCGTATTATTTTGTATAATATCTCTTGTTGTTAACCTAATTTATTAGTGTTAAGAAATTATTGTACATGATGTATCTTTGTATATAATGTATGTTCTGCTCTTCATAACTGGAGGAAATAAAGAATCTATCTATAACGTTAGGAATTAAGTTATATTTGATGAATAATGAAACCAGCACATTACACGTAATTTATTACATGAATCGTGAATCATTTTACTTTGCCTAAAATCTTAGTGAATTATTTTTCTCAAGTTTGATTTTGATTAAAATAGTCTGACTCATCTAGAGGCATGCTTCTTTAAATGTCTTTTAAAATTTTGAATTATGTTATGAGTGTTGCTAGGAAATGAAATTAAACTCTGGTTTAAAATGAAACATTTGAAAATAGTGCGGCTTACTTTAAATAAATACATTATAAGACGGAGAGATATTTGAATTCAAAGTTCATTTATTTAGATTTGAAATAAGGATTTCGATAATATAGGAACCCCCCCCCCCTTTTTTTGATATTTTATTTTTTATTTGTTTAGGTTCGAGGAATACCGAAAATGCCTTTTATAAGAAAACTGAATCTTTGAGCTGACCTCACGGTGATAAAGTGGAACGACAGCCTTTTGTTAACGATTGTGTCGTGAATGTATTGATCTATGATCGACTTCCACTGACGATGCAACAATATTTTACCAAATTAACACTGATAATTTGATCAAGAGCAAATGAGCCGCGTCACGACAAAACCAATATAGTGCATTTGCGACCAGCATGGACTTACACTGATTTGAGCCGCGTCATGATAAAACCAACACATTTTTGCGACCAGCGTCCGCGCAGCCTGATCAGCTGTTCGAGTACTGAAACTGATAGCGAAAAGCGCGGATGCACATGCTGGTCTGGATCCATGCTGGTCGCAAACCCGTTATGTTGGTTTTGTCATGACTTGTTTCACCTCTATAGTTACAATATATATGTTTAAACAAATACAGTGAACTCCGCTTATAACGACATTTATGAGGCCTCGGAAGTTATATCGTTATATCCGGATATCGTTATATCCAAGAGAAAACTAAGTCTGAACCATGACAAAAGCATCGTTATAAGTAATATATCGTTATAAGCTGTACATCGTTTAAAGTGGTATATCGTTGTAAGTTGAGTTTACTTTACTACACCAGATACTATCAATCATTTCTTAAATGTAATTGATTGAGAAAAAATTTTAAAGTAGGAATTCGTTGAATGTGTACGGCACATTTTAATCATTCGGATAACACGAGGCAGGGTTAAAGCAGATTAAATCAATACATGTACATTGTAGATGGTAATGCTGTATTTCAGGTAATGCTTATAATAATTCAGTGACTTTGAACAACCATGTTTATCTCAGATATTTAAACAAAACTACCTCTTTAAGAACAATTATTAGAAGCAATTTAGACAAGCTGTTATTAAACTGTCACGGTGAAGTCGTAAATTTGACCTTACCATGAGAATTACCAAATTATACTATTGTTTATGGATTTATGAGGCACTTTTGATGTTAATAAGTATTTCAAGTATGAAATAGTGAACTATTCTGTAAATATAGTTATCATCAATATTAAGGTACATTGGGACTATTCAGTGTTTTCTGATGTTTAAAGGCCCAGGGCGGACTATAATTTTAGGCACATACATTTACCAGCAAAGTTCCGTTAGTTGTATCTATAGACTCTTATCAAAGTACCGTATAAAGTAGAACTTGGAGTTTAAATTTAGAATTAAGAAATCTTGAGTTCCTTACAGCTTTTAGTTCAATGATTAAAAGCTTCAAATGATGAATTGAGACCGAATTTTATTTTCGTTCCAACCAGGTTATCGAAGATTGAAAGAATCTAGCTACTCTTGCAATCGAGCTTTTCTCGAACTTAGAGTCTTATATTTGAAATTTAAGCTGGAGTTGGATTTTCAACCAGGTCATAGTTCAAATTGTAAAAAAGTAAAGTTAGTTTTTGACCTATTGTTTCAATTTCAGAAACATTAAAGATAAATAGAAATTAAATTAAATCAATAGAATTTCGGACTACTTCATATTTAAGGCATTCTTCTTTAAAGGGACTCCCCTTGGGGTAATTTTAGATGACGGACTGGAGCTATGTTTACGAGATTTATATTCCACTTGATGTAGGTCTAGACCATTAACTTGTGTGCATAATTTCCTTTATTCGCTTTCTTCGTTATTCCATAATAATTATTCTGATTGTGAAAATGTTCCGATATTGCAATGCGTTACAACGCCTTTTACTGTAATTAGGTTAAGAATAACACAAAAACACGACTATCAACTTATTTCAGAGTACAAGTTTAAATTATCGTTTGCTTTTCTTCCTATATTGAGTACTTAAGATGATGCAAAAAAAAATCAAATTTTAGTTTTTCAGGCTTTTGAACCTCAGCGAAGTTCCTTTAAAGAAATAAATATGTTCACTTATAGTAAAGATAATACTACATGGATACAAGCGAGCATATTTATTCTATGATGTATTTAACAATATAGAGGCATTAAATAGTGCACTTTATTGACTGATAAGGTTGTTCAAATCGTTTCCTTAATCTACTTTGATTCTTCATTTATCATTAAACAATTGTCAACCAAAGCGAAAGGAAATGTTTAGGATAACTCGAGTGGTTTAAAATCGGTAACGTGGTTGTGAAATTCATAGAATGCTCGAAACTTATAGAATATAACTAGTATGTTAAAATGGTGAAAATGGAATACAAAAAATAGGCTTTTAGCGACCCCATAGCAGAAGGACAGAACGTGAGCGTTATCGATCATTGTTCTTACGTGAACTTCAAGAATGAGACGTCATAAACAGTATTGGCTACTTTGTATGGCGTTTCTTTGCTTCGCAATAGCATTTTTTATTTCATTTTCAGGTAAGAATATAACCTTTTTAGAGATTACTTTTTTCAAGACACTTTGAAAAAAATTGTAGGGGGCGTGGACGGAAGTTTGCACTTGAAAGTACCGTCCATGAACATGCTCAATCAAACCGAGCCCCCAACGTTTTAAATTTTGACGTGTTGTGCTTTCTATAGGGATTCTTATGTTCTCTTTTTTGTAGGATGTATATGTATGATGTTATGTTTAATTTACACAGACTTAACTTCCTTTTGTTTTGGTAAATAATTTGAAATTTGATTTTTATCAAACAAACAAAACACAATAAAAACGAGTTTCTAATTCTCCTCTATATGTTTGTTATGTCCATTGTTCCATTTTACATGATATTAAAACATAAAAAATGAACGTTTGTTTTTCTTATGAAAAATGTCGTCTATAACACCGGTTTCGAAATGCTTTTAGAAAACCGCACGAGGACTATCATATTCACAAGTTATGTTAAACAGGACAAATCAAGTCGCCCGGATGAACAGTCTAATAAACAGATGATAAGTCCAGCAATGCAATTTAAGACAGACGGTGTAACACAAGAAATGGTTGCAGGAACAAATTTGTCAACGGAAAGAGCTGATACAGAACACTCGGTAGTATAATTATGTTTTGTGGTGTTATATGTGGTAATATATGTGTTGAATATATATGTTGTATGTAGTAAGATATCGTTCTATATGGTAAAATATGTAAAATGATGATGCTATCGGGCAACATATATGAGAATTATGTGTTAACGTATTATGTGGTAACATATGTGTGAAAATGTCTTGAATTATATAGTTTTAAGTTATATATGGTAATATATAGTAGTATATGTGTTGAATATATGTGTTTCTATGTTATATGGTAACATATGTGTTCAATATATATGTGTTGAATATATGTGATGCAATGTTATATGGTAGCATAATTAATAATATATTTGTGTTGAACATATTTGTGATATTATAGGGTAAATATTGTGTTACATATATTTGTAATAATGGAATGTGACAATGTATGTGTTAAACGTATTTGTTTTAATGTTTTATGTTTATATATGCCTGATCAATCAATGTATTGCAATATTATATACGGTTACGTATTTGTTGAACATATTTATTATAATGTAATATGGAAATGTATGCGATAATTATATCTGATGTGTTGTTATATGTGTTGTACAAATATATATATATGCTGTGGCGTTATATGGAATTTTTTGCTGAATATAGAGTTTTTATAGTGTTATATGGTATCATGTGTGTTAAATATGTTTAGCTGACTAATATATATGCTGTTATTATATGGTTTAAGAAATCTGATATATGCGTTAGTAGTAATAGAAAAAGAGGAAGTGGTATAAAGAGAAATCTAAATGATTATGGACCCGCAGAAGGAAAATTGTCAGCCGTGCAGTATACAATTCTTATCTGTATCCCTAAAACGCTCATTAAGATAAATTGTAAATCTTATGTAAGAGATTGCAGATAGAAGTGTAACAGATAAGAATTTTGAACCCTGTTTTCGGCGTTGTAAATGGATCAATGTAAATATAAAGCCTTTGAGCCTGAGTGGGAGTAAAAAATGGACAGAAGGTATTTATCACCCTTTATGGATGTACACTGTATTTTTTTTATATTTTTTTTAATAAGCAAATTTCGTCGTGCTTTATCTATTCTTTCAACACTTCTTTTTCTTGCATATCTTGGCAAATATGTTCATAACAGTAAAAGTACCATCTTTTTAAAATGCTTTGACCGGAATTTTAACATTGTCACGGGACATGTATGTTTTTAAATCATGATTATCTATTTTGGTAGACAAATAAGTATTTGCGTATCTACATGAATACCGGTAGTTGATGTTATGCTATGTTCTCACCGCCTATCAGATCAACTCAATCGTCCAGATCACATTAATTCCCCGATGAAGCCCGACCAAGCTGGATTAAATGCACATTCACGACTCCTACACGACCTCCTCAAGACGACAATACACGATGTTTTACTTCTTCTCGACGACAACCCGACCAACATCCCGACTTCTTCTCGATCACCCAGACCTATACGCGAGTCATACACGATCTCAACTAGACTAACTGGACCTCTGCTCGATCGTTGCCAGATTTCCACCCGACCAGATCGGATAATGCTCGAGTAGAAGTCGAGATGATCGTGAACAGATCGGGAAAGAGATGTATACCCGACCAAACTAGATCGTTACACGATTTATTCTCGATCAACTAGATCTTCTACTCGATCACTATACGATGGCTTCTAGACCGCTTATCTACTCGATCGCTACTCGAATTTTTTTGACATGTCAAAAAAATTCGGGTAGGAAGCCCGAGCCATGCCGACCAAGGTAGACCGCTCCGACCACCCCCGATCACGCATGCAGACCGAACTAGACCGGTACCCGATCGCTTGATCGTGCTTGATCGAGTTGATCTGATCGGCGGTGAGATCACAGCATTAGCAGTGACATATTATTCCATAAGAAAGAACCGATTTCAGCCGCAGACACTTTTGGTGATGACCTCAAAACGCCTTAAAATCCAAATAAAATGTATATTTGTCAACATCATGTGCACTTAAAATATATATGTTTTGTATATCATAAAAAACTTAATGTAAGCTGTTTTGAAAAAGTTCATATCTAAACGTCTATTATAATACACATGATATTATTAAAGACTTTGAAATATACATTTTATTTTGTTTTTAGGGCGTTTTGAGGTCCACGCCCCAAGTGTCTGTGACTTCAGCGTTGTTGACATGTTGTTTATTTTCTTTTTTTCAAATAGACTGGGGACCTTGAAAGTAGATTCATATTCCGTAAAGAATTGATGCAGAAAGCTTGTGTTAAACATAAAAGACAGTTACGGTATCCAAGATGCGAAACAAATAATGCAGGCCTTAACCTTAAGTATGTGAATAGTAGCAGTCTTCTTTATTGTGCAATCGAGAAAACCGGAAGTACCCTTTGGAAACGGATATTACACGTCATCGGCGGGTGGGGTAACGATTCAAATCCAACAGCAATAAAATCTGAAGATGCAGACACCGTTGATGGTGGGTTTGAAACCCTGAAAAACACGACTGTGAAAGAAAGGCGTGAATTGTTTGAAAATTCTACAAGTATTATGTTTGTACGAGATCCGTACACACGATTGTTTTCAGCGTGGCTGGATAAACTGTATTCGCCTAACCATTACTATTGGACAAAACTCGGACCTCAAATCGTCAAAAGACTGAGGGTCAGCAATAACGAGTGGGAATCCGACCCAGTCTCGTGTGCCTCAGACATTTCATTTAATGAATTCATCAACTACACGCTAAGGGAAATAAGCTCGTATTCATGTGTCGACGGACATTTCTCTCCTAATTATAATCATTGTCTTCCTTGTTTATTATCGCATAACTACGTCGGGAAATATGAGACATTTAAAGAAGACACGCGGTTTTTGTTGGACAAATTAAATCTATCACAGAAAGTGACGTTTGACAACTTTGAAAAAGACGGCGCGTGGGACGCCATCAGAGATTCTACTGAATTTCTCTTCTCTCAGAAAGAGAAAATTTTAGAGTGCAATGTGACATTCTTTTGTGCTTTATTCAAAGTTTGGAACAGGCTTCAAAGCAGAGGTATTCTTAGTAAAAATATTGATTTTCCTTTTGAAAATGAAGATGACGTCAACAACGTCACAAAAGCTGACGTAATAAGAATTGTGTCGTACGCGAATCGTCAAAGTGATAGGAGTGAGACAAAAGGTAACCGCATGGAGGCGCTTCAACAGGCGTATCAGAATCTATCTTTGAAATTGAGAGAGAGGCTTGTAAGAACATTTAAGATTGACTTTGATATGTTTGGTTATGACAAGTATCCCAAATATCTTAATCAAACTCGACAGTCAACGTTTAGATACTTTAAAGAATGTTGAAAATAATCCAGTGCATGTAGTTTTGTTGTAATCCATCGGACTACTACGTATTTCCTGCATGCAGATCTGATTGCTATCGTATTTGTTTCGCCTTCATTATGTTTTGCATCTCCGAGAAAGCTAGTTTAGGATATTTGAAGTAATTTGAAACTTATAAACTTGATATAATAGACTCAATTTTTTTAAGGGCAAGATTGTTTTGCCAGTTGACCTGCTATATGGACAACGCCATGTTTGTCCTCGAAGTCCTGAACCTACTCAGTATTGGTTTTCCAGCGGTTTAAAACCGCGTCGTTTTAAAAATTGAGCAAGCTCCCCAATGATTGCCTGTTTGAAAGGTAACGAGAAGGTGGTCGTCAGATCCTAATGCGTAGCATAAATTAGGAGCTGATTTTAATCAGATTGATATGTAATGCGTGTACATTTGGTTTCATTTTACATATATACTTTCATTTGTTTCATTTGTTGTTTTATCTCAATTTTATATCATAAACTATAAAGAAAATGTTATTGCTATGTTTTTTCCAACGCTCCTAACGCATACCCTTAGTGCCTTTATGTGATAAACATTCATTTCCGCTAGTATATCGTTGTTGAATATTTCATTTCCTCTAGAGCTTAACGCTAGTATCTATATGTTATACATTTCATTTCCTCTTTAGTTAAACATATATTTCATTTCCTCTAACGCATACGTCTGTTATCTCTTTATTGAATATTTCATTTCCTTTAGAGTTTTTCGATTGTATCTCTTTGTTAAAAATTTCATTTCCTCTAGCGCATAACGTTAATATCTCATTACTGAATATATCACTTCCTCCAGGGCATAAAGTTAATATCTCATTGTTGAATATTTCATTTCCTCTTGAGCATAAAATTAATATCTCATTGTTGAATATATCATTTCTTCTAACGCATAAAATTAATATCTCAATTTTTAAATACTTCGTTTCCTCCAGCGCATAAAATTAATATCACAATTTTTAAATATTTCATTTCCTCCAGCGCATAAAATTAATATCTCAATTTTTAAATATTTCATTTCCTCCAGCGCATAAAATTAATATCTCATTGTTGAATATTTCATTTCCTCCAGCGCATAGAATTAATATCTCAATTTTTAAATATTTCTTTTCCTCCAGCGCATAAAATTAATATCTCATTGTTGAATATTTCATTTCCTCTTGAGCATAAAGTTAATATCTCATTGTTGAATATATCATTTCTTCTAACGCATAAAATTAATATCTCAATTTTTAAATATTTCATTTCCTCCAGCGCATAAAATTAATATCTCAATTTTTAAATATTTCATTTCCTCCAGCGCATAAAATTAATATCTCAATTTTTAAATATTTCATTTCCTCCAGCGCATAAAATTAATATCTCAATTTTTAAATATTTCATTTCCTCCAGCGCATAAAATTAATATCTCATTGTTGAATATGTCATTTCCTCTAACGCATAACATGAAAAGTATGCAGTACCATTGTATTGATAGTATCATGTGTGATAATAAAACCATGAAATAATTATATGTGGATGTTGATAATAAAATGTTCTAAATGTCAAATTAAATCATGTAGAACTAGATAAACATTTTTCTTCAAAAAATATTCTGTAAGAATATCCAAATGGTACGTTTCTATTGTGTTTTAATCAATATTTGAAGTATGTCTTGAACATTTGCCCATTGTAGATCTACCCACTTTAAAGAAGAAACATTTTTCATCTTGAGTCAGCAGATGGATCGGGACAGTCTTTTATGTTTCAAAATTACTTAAAATATACAAACATAAATCTCAATGTTTTTTGTTTCTGTTTTTTTTGTATTTTAATACCACTAGCTAATTTACTTTTATCAAATATATACCTAGCACGTCTTGCGACATTAAATGGTAGTGTTGCAACATTTAACGGCAAGGGAAAATCGTGCGACATTAAACTTGACCATAGCGACATATAACGACATTTAGCAGCAATGGTGCGACATATAACTTTACCATTGCGATATATAACGACATTTAGCAGCGTTTGCGGCAATAGTGCAACATTTAGCGGTAATTGTGCGACATTAAGCGGCAAGTGTGACATTTAAAGGCGTTGCGACATATAACTGTGCCACATTTTTTGGTGAAAAAATATGATCGTTATGGGTGTACGAATTGAACTTCAATATTTGAGTCCTTTTTCAGTGGCGTTATTCATAGCGTGCCAATATTTTCTTTTCATGCCAACTTTTAAAACGAAAACAATTTCGTGTATTAGCATAAGATATTTGGCAATTTTACAAATTCAGCACTAAATAACTACGGTGCCCCGTTATGGTTATCGCGCATATTCTTAAAATGTAACAACGACAATACTATTCTGCGATGATGAAAAGTCAAAAGGGTGAAAACGCAATACAAAACAAGTACGATGTCGAAAACTCGATATAAGTTTGTGTTTTCAGGATTTTTGTTTCGGCTTTTCACCATCGTGGTTTCGTTCTTTCATTAATCCGACTTTTCTTTTTCCTGTTGTTATTTCGTTATTTCGTTTTCACCGTTGTTATTTCGTGTTTTCACCATCGTAGTATCGAAAAGTCGAAGAAATAACGAAAGAACGAAATCACGATGATGAAAAGACGAAACAACAATGCTGAAAACACGAAATTGTATCGAGGTTTCAACATCGGACTTTCGTTGTTATGCGTTTTGACTATCGCAGATTTGTGTTTTCAACATCGTTGTACACCATCGTGGCGTCGTTTTTTTTTCTTCTAATTTAGCAGCGATGACCCTACCCGGGACATCGTATATTGCAGAATAGGTGTTGCTCATTATAAGTTCTTTCCGCTCTATTTTCATAAAACAGTCAATATCGATAATGCTTTTGATAGTTATTTTTAGCCAAAGCTTTTTTAAATCCTTGTAGTGTCTATTTTCTTGATATAACCACATGGAGCAAAGTGCCCTTGATCAGATTGGCTTTTTTTTTAAATTTCATACCTGAGCAGAACTTGATTCCTCTTTTTGTGCCCCCACTTTAGGGGGGGGGGGCATTTAGATTTACCCTTGTCCCGTCCGTCCGCCCTTCCTTCCGTCCTTCCATCCGTCCGTCCGTCCGTTCTCGTTTGTGTCGCACGGAGCTCAAAAAGTATTTGACCTAGAGTCATGAAACTTTATAGAAATGTTGATCAGCATGTGTAGTTGTGCACCTGGTTATTTTTGTGTGGATATATTTAGTATTTTTAGAGTTATCCCCCCTGACTTAGTAAAAAATTACAATTTTCAACTTGTGTCGCACGTAACTAAAAATGTATTTGACCTAGTGTCATGAAACCTTACAGGAATGTTGATCAGTATAATTATGTAGTTGTGCACCTGGGTATTTTCGTGTGGATATATTTAGTATTTTTAGAGTTATTGCCCTGACTTAGTAAAAACTTACAATTTCAACTTGTGTCGCACGTAACTCAAAAAGTATTTGACCTAGTGTCATGAAACCTTACAGAATGTTAATCAGCATGTGAAGTTGTGCACCTTGGTATGTTCGTGTGGATATATTTAGAATTTTTAGAGTTATTGCCCCTGACTTAGTAAAACTTTATAATTTTCAACTTGTGTCGCACGTAACTCAAAAAGTATTTGACCTAGTGTCATGAAACTTTACAGGAATGTTGATCAGCATGTGTAGTTGTGCACCTGGGTATTTTCGTGTGGATATATTTAGTATTTTTAGAGTTATTGCCCCTGACTTAGTAAAAATTTACAATTTTCAACTTGTGTCGCACGTAATTCAAAAAGTATTTGACCTAGAGTCATGAAACTTTACAAGAATGTTGCTCAGCATGTGTAGTTGTGTACATAGGGTTTCGTTTGTGGATTTATTCTGTTTTGTCAGATTAATTGCCCTTGACTTAGTGAAAACCGTTCCATTATGTTGTGTTATATGTTCCTTGTGTGCTTGAGTTAGAATCAACCTACTTTACAGGAATAATGATCAACATCACTGTGAAGCTATGCACCTGGGGTTTTGCATGTGGATTTTTTTAGTGATGTTAGAGTTATTGCCCTTGACTTAGTATAAATTTGCAATTTTCAACTTGTTCATGCATAACTCAAAAAATAGTTGACAAGTAGGTCTGAAAGTTTACAAGAATGTTGGTAAGCCATGTATTTATGCACCTTGGGGTTTGCTTGTGGATTTATTCAGTATTTGTAAAGTTCTTGCCCTTGACTTAGTAAACGATTTTTAGTTTACAACTTGTGGCACATGTAACCTAAAACATATTTGACCTAAAGTCATAAGATTGACAAAGCAGTGGAGTGTGGGGGCACTCGTGTCCTATGGAAACATTTCTAATTTATTTTTAATCTCCGTCATGTTGTCTAAATAAAGTTTATGATAAAACATATAATTTATATTGTAAGTAGTTTGACTCCAGTACTTGCTCTCGTGCGAAAATCCACTCGGGCAAAAATGGGTCTCAAAAGTACTTAAAAATTCAAGCCTATAATCGAGAGAAAGTAATCGTTAACAAACTGAAAATACAACATAAATATTATATTTTATTATTTATTTAGGCTTCAACAAACAATAATAATAGCAAATACATGTAAAACAAAATATCAAACTGTTAAAACAACGAAAGAGGGCCAAACGATATACATGTATGGATAATATCATGTACAATTGTAGCTAATTATATAAAACAGAAAATGTATATTAAGATATATTTTTTTTAATAAATAAACATTATATTTGTGACGTGTCAAACGAAATGTGAGTTGTGAAAACTACGATTTTGTTTCTTCTACATTTAACTATATTAATAGTATTTTTAAGAGTTTAAGTTTAAGTTTAAAAAACATTTGAAGCTTGGGTTACGTCACGCAACTCCGTTTACCTTGATGCCGTCCTTTCATTTGACGCGTCACATTAAATTTTATACACGTATAAAAATACAAATAAGTTCAAAAAGATTACGCTTGGTGAGAAAATAAACCATTTTTCGTGCATTGATAAATTACACGCTATAACATCATGTAAATTAATAAAACGTTACGAACGGTTTACTTTTTTTCAACACGAATATGCAAGTGTTGTTACTTAAACCTTAGATGCTGGACAGTCACGAAAAAATAAAATGTGGTATATTTACTTAATTTTCAGCAATAAGCTTTCATAAAAACATATATATAGGTCTTTTTTTTAATTGAAAAGTTCCTTTTGCTTGACGTTTAAATAAGCGTTCACTTGTCTAGCTAGAATATATATATATATATCCAGACGTCTTCAAGTTTAAAGATAGAGTTTATGTTTTGTTTGCCGGCTATCGTGTGTCAAGTTTGTATTTCCATAAATTTTCATAAATACATGTTTAACAGTTAATAAATAAAAATGTTAATATGGCTGAAACAAAAACCGGTACGGTGTCAGAACGGAACCGTTACGGTTACCTATAATCAGGTCATACCATCTCCTGGAATTTCCCCTCTGACGAATGCACAGCGCCCTCGGTCGGGAAATACCGTCCACTGTCGACAGAACGGTGTTCAAACCTTTAAGATATGGCGACAGAAGATGTATGGCGTTGGTGTCCTTTCCGGCAACCAGAACATTCTCGTCGGGTAGCTCAACTACGCCGATTGGGTGATAGATTTCTTTATTTATAGCCATGACAATTCCATCGTGTCGCCTCACTTTCATCACTTCGTCAGTTTCCGAGTCGCAAATGTAAAAATGGATCTTATCTCGTGCAAAAGCCACGCCCTGTGGACGACGAAATATGAAAGAGCCTCTTTGATCAGTTCGAATAGTTTTGAGAACGATTCCACCGCTACTGATTAGCTGAACTTGTGAGGGGTCGTCATAGGAAACGAGAAACGTGTCGTGGTCCCAGTCAATTCCGACGCAACGTCCGTCGACGTTTATACGATGGTCTAACGCTATGTATCGATCATCGTCCGTCACCGTTAACAGTTGAAGTTTCCGTTCGTTTGGTAGCGTGACCGCCGCTTTTGAGTAACCAATGAAAGTGACGTCGGACGGCTCTGACGTCATCGTCAAAGCACCGACGACATCTCCGGAATCAATATGGACAGTTTTGATTTTTCGATTGTGGAAATCGGTAATCATAACATTTCCGGACGGTAAAACGACCAATCCAAATATACCGCTGTATTCGCGATCACTGCGCAGTAAGCACTGAATATCAGTTCTCTTTTCAACGCTGTGCACTTTACCCATCTTTGTTGTTTATTTCTATCGGAAGTTCCACTGTTTAAGCGTTTCTGTTGTAGTCAGTAGTTGTTGTTGTTATTGGTGGTGGGTGGTGGTGGTGGTAGTAAGGGTTTTCGCTTTCGAGCTCGGGACTTTGATGAATATAACCGGCTGTACCGGAAAAGGAATTGACTACATCATATATCTGCTGCCTTATTTGCTAAAAATAACCAAAATATAAAAAATAAAAACATTTTGACAATTTTGCTTAAGATTAAAAAAAATGAATTAAAAAGTATAAATACTTACTTCTAAATATAAAAAGGTATATATTGCTTCCTTGATTCTTCGAATGTTCTTTACGCTGATCACAGCATAAAAAAGATCTTTTTTCCCGCTTATAATAAATAATATAATAAATCATTAAAATTTAATTTCTCCGGTACTTAAGGACAGTGTAACGTCCAAGACTTAATGCTTTCAAAATGCACCCTTCATATGAAAAACATATGTTACGTCAATTTATTTCTTTAGAAAAATAAAATAAAACTCACCGAAACTAAGCTTTGAATTATTAATACTAGATATACAGGTGTTAAGGAATTGGCTTAGGTACAAATTTGTAAAATACTTTTAACGACGACCTCATTTTGGGTCAGTAATGTTTGAATTGAAAATTAAAAGCGAAAACAAAGCGTTATGTCAAACGCTTTGTGATTCAAGACAGCTACCCCAATTGAACCGAGCAATTTGATACTTTAAAAATATCTCTCTAATTGTTGAAGTTGTCGTTAGCCCAGATTAAACGTATCATTATCAAAACAAACATGTATCTTTATTCCCTTTTTAGTTTTTTTCTTCTCTAGTTTATAAAGAGAAGGTTCATTGTTTTTAATTTTATTATAACATGTATTATTATCATTTAATTTTATTATTATTATCATTAAAATCATCATCGTACTTCATTATCATCCTCATCGTCATCATTAATTATATTAATTATTATCATTATCATGATATTTTCATAATGATTATTATTTTTATTTTTTATTTTAATTATCATTATTTTTATTATTATTATTGTTATTATCATCATCATCATCTATTATTTTTTTAATTATTATTATTATTAATGTCTATTATTATTTTAATTATTATTATTATTATTATTATTATTATTATTATTATTATTATTATTATTATTATTAGAACCAACTCTTTAGCTTATTTGAAAGGTTATAATTTTTTTAAATATTTAGGACAACTTTAGCCAAAGTGTAAAAATAACATATTCATAAGGAATAGTGTAGTTATTTACAAGACGACATGGGGGACAACTCTGACTATCATTAGCTTTTAGTTAGTCTTAAGGTTATTTCCCTTTGACATACATTATAAAAGATTACAAACGTCATAGAACATGCGGATTCCCGATATGTGCGTGCGTGCGTGTGTGTATTTATGCACACATAAAGTACACAATATATATCAACTACTACATGTATATGATTGTTTTGAGTGAATACTGAAGGTTAGTGCTTTAATATTCATCATTACTCGAAATGTTATCAAATAAATAAATCGCCTTTCATAAGGACATAATATTTACTATCTATATGGTTTGTGTCATGGTATACATGTGTTTTGACTGCGGTCTTAATAATTATGTACATGTATTTTCATGTAAGGGAAACTAATAGTGGCTGATTTGTGCCATGTCATGTTTTTGCTCCGAGTGGCGTCAAGCGAAAATACAAAAATACTAGTACGACAAGTGGTCACGATGTCGTACTTTCGCTGTGTGAGTCGCAAGGCGAAAGTCGACTAAGTGGTCGTTACTCTGTCGTATTTTTGTGTGTTTCGTCTGGTGTTTCTACGACTTGGCACAAACCAGCCACCATAGAAACTCTATGTGTGCAAGCAAATTATTATGGAAGATTATCAGTTCTATAGCTCTATAGTTCTGTGCGAGCATGTGACTGAAATAATGCACATATGGACACCTCCGCTATTAAAGCTGGATAGTCGCCATATGACCGTAACAGTGTCGTGGTGATTTTAAACTCGACCCCCGAATTAGAGATTAATGTGTCTTGTAACTTTGAATAGACACATTTTAAACCAGATACAACTAGAAAATTTCAATCGGGGAAAAATATAACAAATTTACGTCAAGATTTAAACAACATTTATTAATATCAAGTGAAAATACTTAAAATAAATATAACATTAACATTGTTATCACTAGTTGAATTTATCATTTAAATAAACAATACAGAAACTCCGTTTCAACAAAAGAGTTTTACAATGAAATCTTCAAAATGATCACTTTAACCACTCTAAAACAAAACCTCCCCTCAACAATCGAAATATTTCTCTCCCAAAGTGGGCCGCTGTGCAGAGGTTTTTTTTTTATTAAAATATGATACTAATATCACTTGATTGACAATGTAAATTTAAACTATAACTGAAACAATTATATGTAAAGTGAATCTAAGATGAAAAAAATTGGAATTATAAGTTTATGTAATACAATGTACATGTATAAACACAGTCTTACGTGTCATGCATATTTAAGTATTGCATTACTTTAGACAAATTCACATAACTATGATTTCTATATCGATGTGTGTAAAATACATATACATGTAGCCTGCAGTGTTGTTTTTGTTATTCGTTTTTTTTTCTCACAATCCAAGCACTAATAAGCTAAACTGCCACACAATCTATTTCTTTCTGTCACAGGAATCAGCTTAATCACGTGAACTGTTACACATTAATCACGTGGCAATAAAGAAGATAGATCATATCGCATAAAGTCAGACATAACCACGTGAAAAGTTAACAAACAAATCACGTGACCTAATTACATATAAATCACGTGCGTAAACGCAGCTTACACGTGACCAAGAAGATAAATCAAATGGTTTAGCAGTAGATAAATACTGACAAAAAATAACTAAATCACGCGGCCAACAAGCACTAGAACTGCTTCACCAATTTGATCATTCGATCATTCAAGTAAGAGTTGTCGAACGTTTAACATATTCTGTTATATTGACTAGAAACATTTCCCATATTGCACCTCTCGTCTACAAGGCAGAGGGTTCGGATCTGTAAAAAAAATAAATGTTTTGTGTAAATAAATAAAGTAAAAAAAGATAAATAAAATCAGGAGATTAAAAAAGTATCGTTCATGTTACTATATTACATATGAATAGATTTAGGTCACATTTGAAGTTATGTCAATCAATATATCTTTTCATTCAAAGAAATAATGTAAACAATCATTCAAATTCATGTATTTACAAACAAGATCGGTGTCAAGGTCTCCACATTGCTGTTTGTTTTGTACTTTATACAAAACACCTTCAGTCCAATAACATTGAGACCGGAAACAGGAAGTAGAATAGCATCTTAATTTATAAATAGACATCTTACCTTGACGCATGCGCAGTATGTGTGTAGCAGTGAATTTTCATGTCAATCTTCTGATGGAACCCTTTACCACAATACGGGCAGACGTAGGCTTTAAACGACGTGTGAGTTCGCATATGTGTGTGTAGGTTTGAAGCTCTGAAAATATAGATGTGGGTAAAGTTGTAAAAGTGTTTATAAATAACTTTATTCACATGTAATAGGAATAATAATTAAATAATATCTAAAAAAGGTTTTGTTTTTTTTCTCGAGTACAAACATCACAGTGTAGAAACATATCTACTTCCGGTGATCACACCTTGATGACGTCATTTCCAGATTTTGATTTCGTTTTTCGTTTTGATTGGATTCCTTAACTTAACGACATCTTAATACCCCTTTGATCGAAAAACATTCTAAATTTATGAAAAAAAAAACAATTTCCTTCTCTATCAGAACAGTGGTTTCAGAATTCTTCTTTTTGGCCATTTAGCGGAATGAAATAGTAAGCAAACATGATTCCATAGTTATGGTAAACCCTATAGACATGAAAATATGAAATGTGTATAAAAACTTTATTTTTTAACAGTTTTTATTTTATTTTCGGGTAAATACTACTCGCCGTTTATACACGGAATATACCTTCTTAGATTCTATAACAAATTTTTCAAATTTGCTGCATTTCTTCGAAGTAAAATGAAGCTTTTCGAAAATTCAATTATCGGATGAACATTTTGTCAATCGAAAGAGGGTAGTTAAAAACGTTATTTAGTCGGTATTAAATATAGACATATTTTAAATGAACAATATCTGAATCATTAAAACACGTGTACTATTTACCTGTTAAAGGCCTTATTGCACGTGGGACACACGTATGGTTTGACCGTAGTGTGGGTAAGTCGATGACGTGTAAGATTGCCCGGTTGCCGGAAAGCACGTGAACAAATTTCACACTTGAACGGTTTGTCACCAGTATGGATTCGCTGAAAAACGAAAGAAAAGTGTAATTATTTAGGACCGATGTACATGTATCACGTTGGCAAATGTGTATGTATTTTATCACATGTAAATGTATAGTAGAAAAACATCTATGTTGAAATAACAATAATTTATTATCGGTAGTGTGATTCTGTACCATAGAATTTATTATGCCTCAGAAATTGTTTATTCTTTAAAGCTTTTTTTTTTGATGTCCAGTTGCAGTTTTTTTTGCAATTAGTACTAATATAGTATTTTGTATGGAAGTCAAAGAGCTTTGAACCTCACGTTTTCCTTAAAGAAACAAGACAAGTGGATGGTACTGATTACTGAATCAAGTTTTCTAAAAATGCATTTATTACGAGTATTTATTTTCATATAAAAGTCTGATAATACATGTCTATCTGATAGATTGATTATTTATTTATTTATTTATTTATTTATTTATTTATTATTTATTTATTTATTTATTTATTTATTTATTTATTTATTTATTTATTTATTTATTTATTTATTTACTTATTCATTCATTCATTTTTATTTATTTATTTATTTATTGATTAATTTATTATTTATTTATTTATTTATCTATCTATCTATCTTTTTATTTATTTATTTATTTATTTATTCATTTATTCATTCATTCATTCATTCATTCATTCATTCATTCATTCATATTTATTTATTTATTTATTTATTTATTTATTTATTTATTTATTTATTTATTTATTTATTTATTTATTTATTTATTGATCATTATGAAATATTCCAAAAGAAAGGTGTTTAGTACTTTAGTAATTCTATAACGCTGCCAGACCTCTGCCATGGCAACATAAAAAGATGTACTGTGTTCGTATAATCAATAGCAAGCAAATTGTTGTGGTCACCGTAGCTTAAAAGCTTATGTCAACATTTAATTACATTTCAATAGAATGTTTGAAAAGCGACAAAAGTAACAGATTCTGAAGCGGTGTCGCGTGGCGCTTAATGTTTAGAGAAGCAGTGTCGCTCAATATGGGTCCTTGCGGCTCAATACCGGACGCTATCGTACTTTGAAATAATTTGGGTAAATATTATTCTTTCCGTTGAATAATGAAGCAACTGTGTATCCACTTTTCATTGATGTTTGACCAAAATTATTTGACATTTACTGAACTACAGCGCTTTGTTTGAACAGAACAGATTTTAGTTCACCTTTTGAGCAAATTCAATTAGATTTTTCGTAATAATATTTTGCAGCTATCGGAATTTTCGTCTGAAACTAATTTGCGTTTCTGTGACTCTTTGTCTCTCTCTCCCTCTCTTTTGTTTACTTGTGGGGAAGGACGGTACTGTCAAATATGGGTTAATACTTTGATATGCACTTAACAAGGTTGATAGGAAAAAACGTTCCTTTTGTTCTTCTTTCAACTTTTCGGTGCCAAAATCGTCCGTGATTGGTTTAGAGTTAATAATATGTAATGCATAATCACCAAAATGCCACTTGCATGAAATAGAATACAATCATTAAAAATATGACACGTTTTATTTTGTCTAAGTCACAAAAACAACATCCGCTTTAATATTGCATTACTATTATTACATTATTTACCATTTATTTATCAATTTTCGGAAGAAAACAAAAAGTGTCAACGTTTATTTCATCCTAATCTGATTGGCTTAAAATCTAGACACAAAAAGCCTTTCTCTTATTATGTACCTATGTTTTTAAATAAAATCCTGTGCTTCTGTACACAGAAATAAAAAAAGAAAGAATGCATTTAAATATAAATTATGTTAGGTGTTTGCTTGGTTTATTTATTTATTGAATTTATTCATTTACTTACTTATTCGTTGGTTCGTTCATTCATTCATTCATTCATTCGTTGATTTGTTCGTTCGTTCGTTCGTTCATTCATTCATTCATTCATTCATTCATTCATTCATTCATTCATTCATTCATTCATTCATTCATTCATTCATTCAATCATTTATTTATTTATTTATTTATTTATTTATTTATTTATTTATTTATTTACTTATTTTGTTGTTATTGCTGTTATTGTTTTGTTGTTGTTGTTTTACAGCTCGTGTTCGCTGTGAATGCGCACATTACATTATTTAAATATTTAAACCCTGATAATGCTACACAAAACAGACAAGTGCTTGGTTCCGAAATGAGGAGAACATGCTATCTTTTAAACAAATAGAAATAATGATAATAATGAAATAAAATTTACCTTATGTGTGACCAATGTGTTACTCCTGGAAAAAGCCTTCCCACATACGTCACATTTGTATTTCTTCACGGGTGGTGGCTTCTCGGGATTGTATCGTCTGTATGCAGAGCCCGGTAAATGCATCAGTGCCGGGTGGAAAAGACCTGCGCCGGGGACCGGAAGCATAGCTCCCGCATGCGTAGGCTGCAACAAACCAGTACCAAACGGGTTCACGAAACGTGGATCAGTCAGATTTGGTATATTTAGCCGGTCGGGAACAATGTCAACTTTAAGTTCTTTCCTGTCGGGAGTTTCGTCATTTTCAGCACTAGAATGTTCACTTTCCGGGGAGCTAATTGTTTCGGTGCGTGATTTACCGGAAAAAGATTTGGATGAGTCGGGCGTTATGGGAGGCTCCCTGTCGTCTGCTTGGCTATCTTCTCCCGCCATTTTCCCGAGTGGTGTAGTCGCTGTACATTCTTTACTACTGCTATTTAGAAGTTTCGTCAAATTTAAGAAGTAGTTTGTGAACGGAATTCTCGGGTCAACGTAGTAAAACATGCTTTTATCAAAATGGTCAAGGTCTTTCTTTGAATCAGAATCCGGTGAAGTTTTCTCAGGGAACTGGAACGGTGACGGGAAAGTATGGCTGGGTGACGAAGATGGTCCCGATTCGGACTTTTCGGCAGGTAGTGACTAGAATAAAAGTTCGGGAAAAATCCAGGATAAAATCCGGGCATTCCTGTTGATGCTGAGCCTGAAAGGAACGGAGATTTGAGGCCTCCGGTGCCAAATTCTTGCTTGCCTATTTTGCTGAATGCAGATTCAGGGGATGGTCTAAATGATGCCGGGTGGTTTATTGAGCTATCATCGCTGTCGTCATTGTGCTGAACGTTCGGAGAACTTCGGTCATCTCGGAACGACGTGTCCGAACCTTCCTCTGTGAAATAGAAAAATACATGTAATATGAAACATAAAGAAACCATGTATGTGAACTTTTCTAACTTTGTGAATCACTTTAAACCAAGGCAACAGTATATTACATTTCATGCTTTTTATTATTTCTATTGGTATATTATTTCTTATATTATACCTAAAATGCGCGATTCCGTCACGTATTTTTAGTTATTTTCGAATAATAAGTCCTATTTATATTATCATTATTTATATTCTATTTATATTTCGCGATTTCGTCACATATTTGTAGTTATTTTCGCATTTACTTTTGTTGATTTACAAGAGAAGGATAAAAAATGTTCAGCTTTTACTAGTATATTCAATATATATTATCTAATATGCACATAACAATTTACATAAAAGTAGTGAATATTGAAAATTTTCATAAAAATAAGATAAAAAAATAAATTTACAAACACTATTTATATTCCATTATTTTTAACATATAATATATTTTTAATAGTCAATGAATTTTGGGGAAATTCTTAGCTCAACGTTTTCTTAATAAACAATTAAAATCGAGTATAGTTTGAATCAAACAAAAAAATTACTTTAAAGAAATAAAAAAAAATATTATGTTATGTTTTAAAGAAATAACCGTGTGTATATTATTCCAATTATAAGAGATGGTAATATCTTAAATTAAAAGAACTGACCATATTTTATGTCATATATTCACATAGCTTCTAGTGTTTTTATAAACGCGATACAAATTAGAATACATTTAAACAAATGCATGTGGATATAAAAAATGTACATTTATAAATGAGGTCTTCTGTATGCACAACACTAGTAATACAAATTTAAAGATATATATCAGTGAAATACAAGAAATATCACTCGCGGCATATTACAAATAATAAAAATCTGTTTACTATAAATTAATAAACTAACTAAATTGATTTTATTTTTATCTAAAACGATTCAGTTCAAGGTGATATTTTTCCATATGTTTTGTATGTGTCACAGGCTTTGGGTTAAATTTGAATTTCATTTTTACGTCAGCTCTAACTTCTATATTGCACCCATTGGAACAAAAATACCCTTTATCATTATCTCTTTCTTTGTTTTCTTTTTCTCGAATTAAAAAAATACATGAATAATAAATAAAATAAAAAAACAACAACGCTTACCTTCCTCTTCCATGTGATGGTCATCGTGACGATTTCCAGTCATTAGAAATGCCTTTGGCATCCTGACTTTAGGAATAAATTCCCAAAATGATCTGTAAAAAATATAATCAAAGTTTGTCCTTGTATTCAAATAGAAAATTTAAAGTTAAAAATATCACTTTAGTTAAACATTTCCTTTTTCAAAAACACGTTATTTTTCTATTTTTTTCTTAACGTCAGTGATGCTCTTTTGGCGAGTTCTTATTATGCGTTATCTTGCGAAAATATTAAAGTGCCATAAGTAAATATCTAAGTAAAGTAAATACGGCAATAAAATTTAATACAATAATCTTTTGTTGCATTAGCCAATGAGAAAAGGGCAAATCGGGCCACCCGGTAGAGTTCTTTTTTCTGATTGGCGTAAATGGTATTAAGGGGCGGAGCTTTTTCGCACGTAATCTCGGCGCATAACAAGATTATTATAGATCAATATAATTATCACCAATATGATTTGCAAACAGGCGAGAACAGAATGGCTAAATAATTATTACATTATATTTTTCTGCGGAAGAAAGAATCTTTGCACCGTTAAAGTATGGGAATGATGTATTTGATGGTGTAATCCTCCCCTCTTATACATGGTCAGCTGCGAGGAGGTTACAGGAAAGAATAAGCATCTTCGTTAACGAACCTTTATCGGATGGTCAAGAAAAAAGAGGTTAATTAGATCTATTATTATGAGCTTATTGACTGACCAAATGATAAAATATTCATGCGTTTTGACTTTCTCTTACGGAAATACCTGAGAACTGTTAGAGATGATGCAGACGACAATAAATGAAATTATTCCAAACGAAAATTTGTTGTCCGAATGCGCCAATTAGTTTATAAAATAATCGAACAAAAAAAAAAGAGCATAGTGATTTAAAATGAATCTTTATTTTCATGTTGCAACTGTTTGAATATAGTCAAGAATCTATATGCATCTGAATTTCTTTTAATTAGTTTTTATTTCTTTTAATTAAGTTTTACATATATTGACATATATTTACTTTGATTTTAAGTTTTAGAAAAATGCACGACTTCAAACAAAATTAATGTATTCATAGTTTGTGTGTGTGTGTTTTTTGTTTTGTTTTTTGTGTGTTTTGTGCGCTTATTACTGTTATTACTATTTTCAAAGACATAGATGTTATCTACATCTCCGTTATTTTATGGTAGTAGTTTAATAATTGTTGTTTTGCTTTTCAATTTTTTTCTTTCTTAGAAATTTCATTATTTGAAATAAAACGAGACAATCCCTGTAAACAAATTTTTATCACAATGTTTTAGCATACAAACTAAACTGTTATATTAACTTGTATAATATATATTTAAACATGTTTGATAAAGATTATGCCATTTCTAAATAAAAGAACAATTGAGGATATCCCAAATTAACGACTTGGCATGTTCGATAGTTTCGAGACTTCTTCAACCCCACCCACCCCTCTACCACAACCCTCTAGTTCCACTCCATACCACCATCCCCATATCACCACCATTAGCAAATCATGCACATTTGTATGTATGTGAATTTTTATCTATAAACCATAAATATGAGTTATAGTCGTAATTTTTTTCTTCTCAAATATCAACATAATAATTATGCAAATTAAACAATGTAAAAGTTTTACATTTTAGTTAAAAATCTTAAGATAAATTAAACAAAGCAGAAAATTAATTGAACTCAAGTTGCACGTGCACAGCATGTGATGATTTTACAATAGTTATCTCTTTAGTTAAGCACATGGCAAGGCTTCAGTTCTTATTGTAGACAATGATATAGACAGAATAAAACATTAAAGTAATAAATTTTGTAATATACGAGAATGAAAGAAAAAAAGAAAGATCACATACCTCTGCTCGTCCATTTGCTCCATTGTTATTTTCTGTTCCAGAGTATCTAAAAGTACGATCTGTAGATCCGGTTACGGACTTTGCCGAAGGTGCAAATTTCTTCTTAAGTAACGTTACGGAATCAGCCGAACCCTTTACGAACAGTACCGGTGATTTCCAACTTTCCTAATCCGGTAACATGTTACATCACGGAAATATCCGGCGATAATCCGAACCCGCTTTGAACTGTGCCGCCAGTCGCCGACTCTAATTAACTACATTTACATGTTAATCCATGTTCCAATAGAATTTAGGATAATGCAAAAAACAATTTAATGTAATCAAATAACGGAATCGTCGCAAGGTAGAATTAGGCTGCTCTTTAATATTTATTCAGACCTTTCGAATATAGTTTATTTTTAGTTTTATTGTGTTTATCCCAAACAACGAGACACTGTGACACAACCATGACTAATGCAAAAGTCCTCTAAAAAGATATGACTTTCTCTTTGTGTTACAATGACTTAACCATTACTCATTTTTCTTACAGACTCGAATAAATCATTTTGCTTTCCCGTGTGACCAGTATACTAATATACTTTTTTAGAATGGTACTTTAAGTCTTAAAATAATTAGATTTAAATGTCATGCACAGAAGTTTTACAAATTAATCATAAAGGTCTATTGCTTTGTTAACAATGGAAAATTTAAAACTATCTTTGTTGCATATTAAGCAAACTGGCTTTGTATTTTTATTTGCAAAAAAATACCAGATGAAGAGAGTGAAAGAAAAATAACAACAACAAATGAATCGGTTACTACAAATTTAGTTTTGTTGAGTTTATTGTAAGACGGTGTAAAACAAGGTTCAACCCATTCTCCGCATCTTTATAGCAGTTTAACCCCTGAATCGTAGTCATTTGCCTCAATGATTGCAAAGAATACTAATGATAATCAAAATAATAACCTGTTTAAAACAATATTTTTAACTTCTCCAAAGAACATTTTAAAAAATGTTTAAAACTATTTGTGCTAGTATTAACTTTTACTCAAGTTTCACGATGATTTGCAGTTTGGACCGAGCCTACGACTACCTTGGCTATGCCTGAAAGATCCGTTAATGTCTTTTCTTTACAAAGCGGGAGAGGGTAGGGGGTGACTGGAAGGAAGAGGTCGGCGAAGAAGATGATAGCATGTTTTGGTGATGAATAAGAACTATAATAAGGAAAGAAACAAGAAAAATACAAACAATACAGAGAACAAGAAGTAAAGAAACGAGAAGAAATACAGAAGAAAATCATCAAAATAACATTAAGTAAAAGAACAAGGTGAAGAAAAAGAAAAAAAAAACAAGGAAAAGAATAAGGTGACGAAAAATAGCAACAAGAAAAAATAACAAGGTGAAGAAAAAGAACAACAAGAAAAAATAACAAGGTGAAGAAAAATAACAACAAGGAAAATAACAAGGTGAAGAAAAAGAACAAAAAGGAAAAGAACAACACCAAGACAAATAAAAATAAAAGATAAATACATTTCATAACTTGCATGGCTTTATTATTTTGTATATATGGATCATTAAATCCAGAAATGTGGTTATTTTTGTCTTCGTTGAATTTAAAGATACTAATCTTCTTCCTCTCTAAGACAAGTTTCGTCTTCTAACTGTACGAAAAATCAAAGTTGCGAATGAAGCACAAATAGTTACTACACGCAACCATGTCAATATATAATACTCTACAGAACACGTATTTATAAAGCATAGAGTACAAAGCATTGACATTTTTATTTATGAAGCATTTTAGTGTTGGGGGTCATCGTCCATAAAGTTGACAATAAATTTTCTGCACGTTCGTGTAATCGTGTTTGAATCATACCAATATTAATTCAGTTATCCAATTTTTTAAAGAAAGCTTTGCTTTGAGAAGCACACTGTTAAAAGTTGCTTTCCATATGTTTGTACTTCTTATTTTGTTTTATATACATTTATTAATTAATTTTCTTGTTTCTAGATAACTCAAGGTTATGAATTGTGAAGTAAAAAATGATCGCTAGAGCCATTATACTATCAGTTGCCAAGTTTCGGCACAGAACCTGATCCGACTCATTCAATGTTGTTTTTCAAAACCGGCAATTTATATGGAAGTGAGCTGCCAACAGGACTGTGATGGTCAGTCACGCTTTGCATTATATATTAAACAATAAATTCAATGCTAAGAAATATTCCAATGAAAATGACATTGATAAAACCGGAACTGGTCATGTACCGGAACTGGTTACTTGACTGTATTGGCGGTATGTTTATAAACATTTTTGTATCATAGATCTATGATGTACAATGTACAAATCTAAATAAAGTATCTGATCTGTTCCTAAAATAGTAACCAGTCACTGCATCTAGCCGGCTCAAAGCTGTGTTAGTATGAAAGAATACACAAATTTCTTTTACACCCTGGTGAGACATTACTTGACGTCATGGGCTTTGACTTGCTTTTTCTATATACACACACAGCAGTCATAAATTTCAGCGGATTTGATTAAATAATAATCAAATAATCAAATCGTATTGAAGTACCGAAATTTCTCCACCTTTCCCACGGAGAAGAAAATCGGTTCATTTTTCTCCTTAGCTAATCCTTATAGTGGCTAATTTATTGGATTAATCAAATGACAATGGCGAACAGAAATAACAAAGGGAGATAATCCGATATGATCTCGGATAATCCGTTAATCTCGTTATTTGCGAGATTGGAAGAGAGTTATGTATAACGGTAGCAAAGTAACATTACTCGAAAGTTTGTCAGTTGGCACTGAATTAAAGACTGGGCATGTTTCTATAAGTTTTTATTTAACTTGATTAGCTGTCTGATGAACAATTATGTATTTTTTTTAGAAATATTCATTTGGTTGAAATGTAGTAATACATGTATAGAGCCGAATAAACTTTAAAATTTGTTATTTTATCATGTTGTGTATATACAGAAAATGTCAAAAAATTTGACATGTTGGCATATGCGGAGTTCATACAAATTTGACATAATATTATAATTATAGCACTTATTATGACGTCATGAATAAAAAACATGCTTTTGATACTGTATGGGTGATATGTTTTATTTTAAATCTGTCCTGCATTGTTTTCAGAGAATATATTAAGGAATCACATGAATATATGAAACAGGGAAATTGTCTATGTGTTGTAAATTAGCATTGAACTTTATATTCTGCAATAAATGTCTCAGAAATTAGAAAATAGTTAAGGAAGTGTGCACTAGTTTTCATATAGCACTTTAATAGGGAAAATAAAATTACTTTCACAAAGTTTATGCTGAACTTTGCATGATCTAAGATTATGATAACAAAAAAAGTTAAGGGAAGGAAAAAACAGAAAAAGTGGTATTCGATGTCCTCAGTTTTGAATTTTTGCTATAAATTCTGATTATTTTGCTTATTTCAAGTCAATTCAAGGGCAGATAACTTTTACACAACTCTGAAAAGAAAGAAAAAACTTAGTTGCACTCGTGTCAGGTCTACGTGTCTCATTTTATGCTTGACTCAGAA